GTAGGCCCAGAAGGAGATGGTGGGATGAACTTGACGCTTATGAAAAGGATTGGCCACAGAAAGGTTTAAGAGATGAGTGGGAGGAGGGTAGGCCTTTGACCTGCAGTGGGACAACCATGGCTAAAAATAAAATAAATAAATAAGTAATTTATAGTTCCTATGTATAATTAGCTCGTTGTTTCGATATCCGCAAAAGTACCTTGTGCTAAGTACGGTGGCCTGCAGATCAACCTATCCTTTTCTATCATTTCTCTATTATATCTTCAACTTTATTATATTGACATAAAGTCGAAAATCCAATTAACAAATTTGACAGATTCGAATAGTTCCAGTTGGTAGCACGATCGATCTCTTTGTTTGTCTGTACTTTGCTGAATCGACTATTCATTTAAGTACAATAATTAATTTAAAATTAAAATTTAATTGCAAATTTCATTTCGCTATCCAATTAGTAGATCTTTGAACAATTTAATTAGAAAAAGATGCATTCTGGGGATGATGACAGGGTATGAAAATTAAAAATATAATTAGTCCGTAAGTTAAGTAATGAAAAAATATTAGACACGTATTTTTTTATTTTGTCGTATAATAAAACAATACTTAGATAAAACGAATCAAAGTTTAGGAGTGGGGGCTAAAACGTCATTACTTAGTATAAAATGTACTGAGAAGTGACGTCACGCGACATTTCAAATCAATATATCTTCGAAACTATTCGTTTCTGTGAGAAAATAAAAAATACGTGTCTAATGTTTTTAAATAATCTATCAGACGGACATTAAAATAAAAATTAGTCGTCTACCCTAGCACGTCCGACTTAACAGAATAGTAATTGTTTTGCAACTGTAAAAATTTGGAACTATTTTAAAATTCAAAATGTGAAAACATACGTGAATAAAATAAGTAAGTATTAATATTAAAATGTTCATCCACCACTAGTCTTTTGGAACTTAAAATATTTTATTTAAAACGCTCATTCCTGATAAATTCATCTTCATCGTCTGCACCCAGTTCTCTTGTGTTGAAGATTTCATCTGTTTCGTTTTGATATGAGAATGATTTTGCATAAAGTATCGAATAATATGATTAGGTGTATTCAAATTATTTAAATAACTAACCAGTGTAATTTAAGTTATAGGAATGATGTAATCATAGGTAGGTAAATAATACTATATTATATATACCCCTAATGATGATGGAGACACCCAAGAGATACCATTATCAGATGCTGCTAAAACTTAACCTTTTGATTTTACTTTTGATATTTTTAAGTATATACCGTACTAATTAATAAAGTTCTGCAATAGCTGCCTCAACAAGAAAATTATCTTAGGCATAGAAACACGCATATTGCATATGGGTAGAAAATTAACCTTCCTCTTAAAATGATCTCCTTTCAGTCAAAGTCAAAGTCAAAGTCAAAATCATTTATTTCAATTAGACCAGGATGGCACTTTTGAACGTCAAACAACAAAAAATTATAAGTGAAGCTAGTTGCTCATTCCAAGGCGTAGATTCCTATGGAGAAGAACGAGCAAGAAACTCCATAGGTTACTCTTTTTTGTTTGTTCATAATAACACCCCGCATTTTATTCCGTTTACAACACAAACATTTACTTAGAGTAATATACTTAAAACTATAGTTTAAATAAAACCAGACATAACACACACTATTTGCAGAAGTTCAGTTTCAGATCGTTGAGTACAAACACTAAAAAAGGCATTATTGCTGAGCGTTGTCCTAACAGAATCAACCATTTTATTTAGACCCACGAAACTGGTTGCCTCCCCTGATTTCGTTTTAAGATTTATTGTTGTAGGGAAGCATGGAGGGTCTTAGTCTACTGGTGGAATATTATACATTGGTTAGGGATGAAACCCTCGGATAATTGTCACCGTCAATGGGAACAATGACCCGAAAATATGTTCAGGGTATTTAGTAGATACGCACCTTGTGTTAAGGGAACCGAGTTTATAATTTGTATATCTTCTATTTACGTTTTGTATAAAATCATTATGCATGGCCATGGACGTAACAAAATGTCAGAAGCTGTGTATAATTTTACGTTAGTAGATGCATACTATTAAGATTAATGCTCAAACCTTCTCCGTGTGAGAAGAGGCTTTGCTCAGCAGTGGGCACTTATAGGTTGTTGATGAGATGCATACAGTTGCACATCATAATACCAATATTTATTCGATCGATAACCAATAACCAAGAATTTTGAACTTCATTTAAGCATTTCCATGTATTAGGTTCTTTTATTAACTGGTTTAAATTGTTAGTACAAACGATATTTTTTTTTAATTTTGTCATTCCTCGTTAACAAAGCTAATCCATATTAATATTTTTCATAGTTACTTTATTTTTAATTATGGAACTTGTTCGCAGCCTGTATCTATTGTAATTTCAAGAGTTATAACAATAAACGTGGGTCTGGCGTGTATCAAGCTGGCATGAGTTCAGAACTGGGCGTTAACAGGCTCGTTCCAAGCATCTGTCTGAGCGAGAGGCGAACCGTTTTTAATATAAGCCTTATGTGTCTGGCGTTTGAATGTGTGTGTACTTTGGTACACTCACTGATAGTTAAACTTCAACTTGTATGTTTGGGAACGAAAATTCGATTAGAACCACATTCTATTTGCAATACGTTAAAAGAATATAGGTAGTATGAAAGCATGATCATACCATTTTTAACGAGTTAACGCGTTAACATTTCTGAGTAGGTAACTGCAGCTCCAACAAATGAGGATCTATTTGAACACTAATCGAACAGTCAAAGAACGTTTGGAGGAGTAAAATATAATAAATAGTTTCCATTTCTTACTTTTAACCGCTCAATTCCCAAGCGGTCACCGGTAACCGCTCACCGCTTACTCCATTATAGACCTTATTTCCGATGTTTAGAGACTACTTTTGTATGAACAAATATTGTGGATTTTTCATAATCGAAGATTCAGAAGTGTAAAGATTATAATTTTAATATGTTGATGTTTAGGTATAAAAAAGGAAAATAGGATTTACATTATTCCTGTTGCCAATTACCCTTCATCCGTAAGTCCAGACGGTCCAAATAAACAAAACAAGTTTATGCCATACAAGCGTTGAAGGGCCATTCCAAGTTCAACAAGAAACACGAAACTTGGATATTGTAAATTTTCTAGACTAAAATTAATTCAGACGCCAGCGGTTTTGCCGAGGACTTGAAAATTTCTTTCACGATTTATGTGTTTAGAACGGACAAACTTGTACAATTACCGCGCCAACTCGCAAATATTGCATTGCAGCCATATTTGGAGGTGGGAATAAAAATTTAAATACATTAAGTGTGGGAAAGCCATGCTTCGGCTCGAATGGGCCGGCTCGACCGGAGTGATACCACGGCCTCACAGAAAACCGAAGTGATGCAACGTGATGCAACGTGTCGTGTGAGTGAGGTTACCGGAGGCCTAATTACCCTCCCCTTCCCCAATCTCCCCAATTCCTGAATCCCCAACGATCCTTAAACTCCTAATCTATCCTAATCCTAAATAAAAAAAAGGGATTACACCTGATGTACACCTGGAACACCAGAGGCGTTACAGGTGTAACGCCTCTGGTGTTCCAGGTGTACATGGGCGACGCCGATTGCTTACCATCAGGTGATCCGTCTGTTCGTTTACCGGCTTATGCCATAAAAAAAAAACTTTTAGGATGGAACATAGCCCTAGTAGTCGGAGAATTAAGTAGAAGTACGTCCTAATATAAATATATTAAGTACGGCGACTGTAGTTCAGAAATAATCTAATTTGCAATTCATTAGGACTTGAAAGCGTCATGGCAGAGGCAGCCAGCCAGACGGAAACCATTTCAACGAACACACATACGTATATACATACTAATAGTAGATAGGGACACCACATCGATTTTGCTAGACCGAGAGGCCATCTGCAGTTTCGTAGTTTGCATATAACTAATGCATGTATATATGTGCTTCTAGACTATAGGTATATTGTACATTATAGTGTAAAAACATTGTCCATTGTTATTCTGGGTCTGGGTGTGATGGGTATGTGAAATGATGTTATTTTGTTTGCCTAAGGCACATAGAATACTGGAAAAAATGCTAGTCTGAAGCACCTTTATTTTTACCACAAAAAACCAGTCATAGCCTGACATAAAATTTGCGTGAATAACCGCCGTGTGAGGTTGACGAGGACTAAATTCTATCCCCCTTCCCCACTACGAAATGCCCAATCCTAAATTCACTAACCGCCCTCAACACACTCATAACTCCTCTGATGTTGTGGGTGTACTTACATTGGCGTGCGGCGTACGATTGCTTACCATGTAGGTGATCCGTCTGATTGTTTGTCACATTACTTCGCGACAAAATGTATCTACAATTTCAATTATAATAAAATGAGAAACGTTAATAATAAACTAGCTAAACTTAATACCTTATAACCGTATATAACTCACTTAGTAGATAAACTTAACTGTCAAATGATAAATAAAATGAGTAACAATGTGGGTATTGCAAAAACAAAAGACCTATAGTTTCCCCGTTAATAGGTAATTCTCAAGTAATGAATGACAGAACTCAAAACAGCAATAATTTTGTTCCATTTTTCGATTCCTTTTTTTATTTTATGCAAATTATTTGGCAATAAGTAAACTATGTACTTTCATAATTTACTATAACCGATTAATTAGAAGAAATTTTTTGTGTAATGTAAGATCTATTTTTTTTATTAAAAATAAAAACGTTTTGTTTTCTATCAATCGAATGGTATTTCTTCATTATTTTACTATGGTATTATTATTTAAGGCGACGTGAACAGTAAACACGTGTCAGCTTACCGAATTAAAAAAAAAGTCTGATTATGGCATAAAAACTTAATGTATTTTGCTTCTTACCTAAGTTGTATAGATAGTACCATTGGTAGTTAATAAATTATAATGTAAGAAGATTTCTCGAACACAGTACTAAATCTGACGGTAGCTATTGTATGATACAATGACGGATAGTGCATCAAAAATTCATCGTATTCGGTTATGGCTCGAAGACATAAAGGTATGATAGTTTAGTATATAAAAAGTAGCATTACTATCTATTTATTTCAGATTTCTCACCCTAACAGTGTGTTAAATAAAAATGTATATTGTGTCAATAATGATACTGAAATATATAAATTATTTAAAATTACTATCAAGTTTTATTCTTCCATGTGAGTACAGTCTTAAAAAACAACAGAAGCTTAATAGCTGTGTAACGATTCATATCGTCCTCTATCGCAGCACTCAAGTTCCATTCATCTACATACATATATACATACAGATAAATAAAATTGGATTGTTTGTTTGTAATATTAAAATAACCGGCATATGTATATACATACTATACACATACTAAAATAACACTTTTTTCAATTTTTGTCTGTCTGTCTGTTTGTACTAGATAACCTCTGGAATGGCTGTACTGATTTTGCAAGACTTTTATTGGCAGATAGCTGTTGTACTAAGGAGTAACATAGGCTACTTTTATTTTGGAAAATTGAAACAAAAAAAAGGAGTTATGATGCAAAATTCTACGCGGACGGAGTCGCGGGCGACAGCAAGTATGATAGTATAAATAGTATAGTATAGATAGTATAAATAGAACTTAGTAAGTGCTAAAAGCACTTTGTTTCCGCGTTTACTTAAACGGAATAAGAAATCCAAGTTCTTTAACTTTGCACTTGATTGATGCAAGGATATCTAAGTACGATTTTTTACTGAAAAGAGGTTTAGGAAGAAAAAACAAAAGAGTTCTGTATTTTTTTTGTCGATTCAGATATTGTATTTAAATCAACTGCTGAACTTCAAGCCTTATAGAGTTGTCGTTATATTTTTTTTAATTAAATAAAAATATCAAACATAGCTACGTATGTTCAGATGTGTGTGATACCTTTGTCTGAGATTATGATGAGAACAAAAGGGTATGCTGAAAGAGAAAAGTAGTAATGTGATATTTCAAGGATTACAAGCACACTTTTAACCTAGGCGCTTGATTAATAATATTAGTATTAATATAAATGTAATAGAATTATGAAAATATTCACATAAAATAGTCTAAAACAAGTTATTAGATAAAATATTTTCCAAGTACATAAAACCTCTAATAATCAAAATTGTTAGGCAACTTTGTCATCAACCGCAGTCGAAAGTGATGGCAGCTTAGCATTATTTAACTCAAATGTGTTTTCTAATCGTTAGGTACTCAAAATTTTATAAAGGTACACTCACTAGTACTATAGTTGTATCATAGAAGTGTGTTTCAGGGCAAAGGCAGATGATAAAAGCACTAGAAACTCAGAAAACAATCATACCGCGTAGTATTTCAACTATACGCTAGATGGCGCTTTGCGCATAAAAAATGTATTATCTATGTCATTCACTAGGTTCTTGTAGTATTCACAATAAGTAAATTGAAATAATGTACGTTAAATTAAAAAAAAAACATTTGAATGAAAAATACAAACAAAAACATAGCAGAAGCCACTACCGCCATCTTTAAAAATGATGTTGCAACTGAACCGAAGCGTTGAAGCCTATGCTGCGTAATGAAACCTTTAGTCAACTCCTTGCAGATTCAGTATAATGGTTAAGTTAAAGATGTCAGTATTGAATATCAAAACATGTTTATACTTACAAAATTGTTGACCTTAGACGACCTTCATAACTCCTTTACAGGTAATAGTTGAGTAGCTAATAAATTTCCAGCACAAAATATTATAACGTCACTTCTTTATAATTTATCTTCACAAGAATAAAATTCATTAGAATAATATTATTTTTACTAATTTATAATGCCACAAACATCGCTTCCAGAAGTCTAAAGCAAACTGTTGATAGTGATCCAAACACCAACTCAGCTTGAATCACTTTTCTCTTTGGCGGGAACAGATACGCGCTATCTTCGTCCTTTTCACACCCGTAGAGGATTATATTTATGTCCTTTACCGGTGTCGATTAAAGTAAAACCATTACGGCGAGAACAAAAAAGGGTCCCCTTTGAACAAATCGTAATATATCATCGTGTTGACGTTGTGAGCTTGGGGTCTTCGTCCAAACTAGCCCGCTTTGTCCAGAAGCAGTAAATTTTATTGGAGTTAACGGTTTCTGTGCTGAATAAGCAAATTATGACTCGTTTTGTAAAAGAAAGGAATGCCCTAATTTCTGTATCTGGCAATAAGTTAATATATAGCTTAATTTCACTCAATACACTTTACCAGTTTTTCGTAAAATAAATAATTATCATAAAAAGAATTATATACCGGTCAAACGTGATAATTAAAAATTACAATACAAAAACATATTTGGAATTAATCGAAAGTAAATATATAGTTGGCACATTTCTTGATACCGAAACAGAATGTGATGAACTAACTCAATTTCAGTTCGTAATAAAAAATAAACCATATCAAATGAACAAACTTCCACGTTCAATATTTCCAGCGACACATAATACGAATATATGAGGTCATAATCTGTCTACACAGGATCGGAACAAACGTAAGCTGCGAGAGCTTCGATCCCACACGGATGGAGCTCATCCATCATTCGAGACAATAGCCAGGGTCGTCGATTCGATACCGAGCAGCTGACACCATACAATCAAATATAGTTACCATATCGCTTTTGTTGTAAGAGTCATAAACTAGGATTTCTAGTTGTATGGCATTTCAAATAAAATTGTTTGGTATTTTAAGCATAGCTGCAATCTTTTGTATGATATTTAGAACTTTTCAAATACATAGGTTACTGTTACTTGAGATGAAACTCCATAAAAAAAGTAAAAACTTAAAAAAATACTTTTTATCTGTTTTTGTACCATAAACTACGACTAAAAATAATGGCGACTCGATAAAATGTCACCAGGTTCTTTGGGAAGATTTGATTGAAAAAAAAACAACGTCAACTTTTGATCCGGTATTGTCCATAATGTATGATTTGTATGATTTTGTATTTATTTAATACCAGCTTTCTGCCGCGGCTTCGCACGCGCTTATTGGGGGTTGAAGGCAGATTAATTAGAAAAATGTAATGCCCTATTTTTATTTATTTATAAATACACACTCTATTGTACACCACATAAAAACAACATCACTGACTGCCTCGTTGGCCTAGTGGTCGCAAGTGCGACTGCCGGGCAAGGGGTCTCGGGTTCGATTTCCGGGCCGGGCAAAGTATTATTGGGTTATTAAAAATTTCTCAGTAGTAGCACGGAGTCTGAAATTGTGCCCGGTATATGGCAATATGCTCACCCCCTATTACATAGGACTCATAACATAAATAGTGAAAAGTGGGTGTTACATTGTACAGTGGCATAATGTGCACCTCTGCCTACCCCTTCGGGAATAAAAGGCGTGATGTTATGTTACGTTAATGTTTAGGTATTCATAATTTCGCATTTTTGCTACAAAACTGCACTATTGCAGTAGTAATTAGGTACATGTCTTACCAAATTAACGTAACACTTAGGCGCGTGTCATCCATTTAAGTATCCTATACAAACTCAATAGGTTTCTGATTGTTTTGAAAAGAAACGTTTAAATCTTTATTACTTAGCACGTTACCATAATTGTAATGGCCATTATAATCTGTTTTAATTTCAAAATCACTTATAGGATTAGCAAAATCTACACCATCGTTGTATTCACACATCATTCCACTATTTTGATTTTCAAATATGAACTGTAATATTTTAAACTGAGTAGTGTCAAGGGAATTTGTTTCTATCTTAATGAGTTTACTATCAGTAGCCACAAGTAGGTAGAAACCTAAATAACCTATAGGTTGTGGTTTATTAATTACAGAAACGTCTAATTGATTTTGATAAAATAAAATATATTGTTCACAATTTTAGTAAAACCATCTTTGCCTCTATTGAATAAAAGAGTAAGGTTCCCATCGATATGATTGATTGTGACTATTTACCTTTTTCTACTTAGGGCTTTCTGCATAAAGTACAGAGTGTTGCCATCTCGTAGGTATCTAGAGTATCTAGTACTTATTTTTTTTTTACTTCTATCACATTTTCTAAGGTTTGCTAGTTTACGACAACGAGTGCGTATCTGTTTATATTAATTAAGTTATAGGCTCATTGGACGAGTTGCAAGCACGACTGCGTAGTAAAAGGTCTTGAATTTCCAAAGCGAGATAAATAATTATTAAGCTTATGGGATTTTTTTCAGAAATAGCATGTTTGTTTGTATTTTTTAGCCTCTGTATAAGGCTTCATTACTTTTAGTAAGAGTTGTTGACATGCCTGACACGAGAAAGCTTGTGTACCATATGGTATATTTTAATTTTGATAAGGACTGCAGTGGTCAATTATAAGTTTAGTCGTACATAATAATGTAGAAGTTTATAATTCACCAGTTGAATATCGCTGCATATTCAGACATCAATCTACCTATACAAATTATACCTATGGAGAAACCCAATAATATTTCTTCTATCACAAAATCGAAGTGAAGACCCAATGAGAATACAAAGTAAACTTACGGACCATTTAGTACAAATATTTGTGATAGGCGTGTTGGCTACCGAAACAGATTTTAAAGCTTATCTATTGTATGCAGACTATCGGAAACCCGGTATGTTTCTCTTATCTACAGCACACAAATGCACTAGCCCTTAAAAATTACACACACAAACAAACAAAGTCATTACCAAATTAACGACGTTCAGGTGACGAAAAAGCATTTTGTAAACAAGTTCCATACTGTGCGGTCGCCTAACTGTTCAGTGATCGAAATTCTTTATAAGTTATTATTAATATAATATAACATCTGTGAAAAAATACCATGTCCTCACCAACCCCGTCACCACCAAGCCTAGTTACTGATGAAGAGGACTCTAGAGACTCCACAATATCAGATATTTCAAATTCAAGTATGCCGAAATTGGAGACTGTTCCTTTACCGCAGAAAGATGATTGCAAATCTAGTGGAGTTACGTCACATGGCGTTGAAGACATATTAGCTGAAGATGTCAACTATAACGTCCATGACAACGTATATTCTGATT